GAAAAAAAAATGTGAATTTTTTAATTTGCTCTCGTATACGTATATAGGTGTATATATAAGTTTTTATCTACATGAAATACAATTATTTGTTATCCATTCGTAGATAAAAATATCATATAACCGTTTCAACTTCCTTTCATTTTTATTTTAATTTAACAAAAAAAAAATAAAAAATTTTAAAAAGTTGTATTAATCTAATTATGTTTGCAATTGATATTTTCAGAAAAACATCAGATTTAAACGATGTAGAGAAGACGTCGTTGGTAGATTCAGCATTACTACCAAAAATACAAACACCCATATTGGATGATGGGAAGATTAATTTAACAGAAAATGATACGCAGAAGGACCCAGAAAGTGCAAGACCCATCAACAAAGGTAGTGCTGTAAAACAAGTTTTAGCGGCATTGGTAGCTCAACTAGGAACCATCAACACTGGAATGACCTTTGGCTTCTCAGCTATAGCACTTCCTCAACTTCAAGAACCTAATAGTACGATTCCAATCATTCAGGGATCGGCAGAAGAATCTTGGATAGGTAAAAGGCTAAACACGATCAAAGAGTATTTTTTAAAAAATAAGCAGGCAGATACAATTTTGAAATTGAATTAAAATTAAAATAATTATTTTCTACTTTTAGCTAGCATGTCATCCATCGGTACTCCAATTGGTTGCTTAGTATCAGGATACATGATGGATATGTTTGGAAGAAAACGATCCTTAATTATCACCGAAATTCCAGCGTTACTTGGCTGGATATTAATTGCAACTGCAACCGACATTCACATGATCTATGCCGGAAGATTTTTTGTTGGACTTGGATCCGGTATGGTGGGTGCACCAGCTCGAGTCTATGCTAGCGAAGTGACTCAACCACATCTTAGAGGAATGTTAACAGCAATGTCAAGCGTTGGTGTCAGTACAGGTGTTCTGATAGAATACGCTTTAGGAAGCCTTCTCTCATGGAATCTTTGCGCAGCCATCAGTGGAATTCTTCCACTTGCTGCTTTATTACTAATGTTCATTTTTCCTGAAACTCCGTCTTATCTAATTTCTCGAAATAGACCGGATAAAGCGAGAAAAGCTTTGCAACAATTCCGTGATAATAACTATAACATTGATCAAGAAATGGAAGTGTTAGAAGAATTCTCCAATAAGAATAATCTCAAACGATTAACTGGATTACGTGAAATTGTTAGTGCACTTCTTAAACCTAATGCTCTTAAGCCGTATGCTTTACTCTTTATATATTTTTTGATTTACCAATTTTCTGGTACGAATGTGATAACATTTTACGCGGTTGAAATTTTTAACGATTCCGGAACAACGATAAATAAATATTTGGCAGCAGTCATTTTGGGAATAGTAAGATTAATATCTACGATAGTTGCTTGTATTGCGTGCAGACGTTGTGGTAGAAGATTACTTACTATGGTGTCGTCTGTGGGTTGTGGTTTGTCTATGATTGGATTAGGTGGCTATATGTGGTTAAAGGAATATTGGGTAATAAATCAATTACCATTCATGGCTACGTGGATACCACTTTTCTGTATATTTTCATATACAATCACATGTACTCTTGGATTTTTAGTTATTCCTTGGATAATGATCGGAGAAGTATATCCCGTACAAGTCCGAGGTATTATAGGTGGCTTAACGACAATGACCGCCCATTCTTTTATCTTTATAGTTGTTAAAACGTATCCCTTCTTTGTTAGTGCGTTCACGAGTCATGGTACTTTTATTTTTTATGGTTGTATTTCATTATTCGGTACAATATACTTTTATATATGTCTCCCTGAAACCAAAGGTAAAACTCTTCAAGAAATAGAAGATTACTTCTCTGGAAGGAGCAATAGTTTATATACTGGAAAAATACGTAACAATCCACAAGTATTAGAAATTAAAAAGGGGCAGGTTTTACCTTAATATTGTTGATAAATTTCATTTTCTAAGAATAATGTTTATGTGTGTGTATAAAGATTCTGCAATTATTGTCATATGATGCCAATGACTATTTAAACCTGTACATTTTTGTTTCTCTCTTGTTTTATTTTTTTCTTGTTTTCTTATTTTTTAACAAATTCAGATGATACTACGAAAAGTTGACTTAATTACTTAGTATCAAGTACCTTATATTTCAACTGTGATCCATTTTTTCCACCAATCGTTCTAGAAACTTCTTAGAATAACTAAATCTGTCATTTATAGCCTTTTTTAGAGAATAATATGATATTTCAATTTCATAGGGATTATATTTAAAATCCTCATTTGTTCTTGATATTTGAATTGCCTTTTCAATGGCATCACATATGTTCATCTTATTCATTAACATTGTACACATGTATACATATATGTAATTTATTTTAGTTTTATTTTATTAACTTTCTAAATCATGAATTATTTTACAGCACTTGTATATCTTACTTAAGTAAATATGACTATTTTATTATTTAATCTTTTGGAAATTTTTCATAAACAAATTAAAATGATTTAACAAATATGATATATAAAGAAAAAAATGATGTCCAATGTTATTTATTATTATAGACGATCGATATAACTTTGATAAAAAAAATAAACAAAAAGTGAAAAATGAATGCTTTTAAAAAATTACAAGGGGCAATTGCAGCATCTAAAAGACTTAAACAAATCTAGCCACAATGACTTATGTATTTTAGATAGGATAATAAATTTTTTAGATTTATATGTTATACATACTCGTTGATAAGAACAGATGCAGATATATTTATTAGAATCAATATCACAAATCTGTATAGTTAAATACAAAATAATACTTTAATTATGCTATAAATATTTTTTAATATAATATATGTAATATTTTAACATTTTTGTAAATGCGTACAATAGAATTACTCAGGCATATGATTTATTAAAAAAAAATATATATAATAATAATAACAATGCCTTTGAAAGTATATTTACCATTATTTCTAATAAACATATTCCTATGTACATTATCGGTTGTACAATTAAACAAAAGGTGCTATTAATTGTATATGATATAGTATTATTTTATATTATAGTGCTTGTATATAAATGACTAATGACCGTGCAATGAAGATATTTCTTTAAAAAAGTAGTAAAAAACAAAATATACGAATATAGATCTTTTAAATCATAGCAGATTTGGAAAAATTTCTTTTTAATATAGCTATGATTAATTAATTCTAAATACGGATAAGAAATTCTTTGATATTTATCATTTATTATAACGTTCAATTTGTTATCTTTGTATATAAAATGATATATTTAATTTTATTTTACATATAGCTTGTACAAAGTAGTCCTCAAGAAAGAATACATTGAGTGACTTATTTTTTTTTACGAAACAAAAAATACAAAGATTTGCTTATGAAATTTTTTGTGATACTTTATTTTATTTCCATATATTGTATGTAATGTATTTAAAGATAAAGGTAAGCATTACTAACATGAATTTAAATTTCATTAAAATTAAGTTGCATAAGATTTTTATTTATTATAATATAAATTAATGTTTACAAAGTTAACTTAGGTAAATTGTTTCTGGCATCTTTTTTACGTTTTTTCTCTTCTATAAATTTCTTTATCATTTCTGGAGGCAATAATTCGCCTCTGTACGTTTTTGGTATATATTCTTTATCCAGTTCTTTAAGTTTTTCATTTACATATTTTACAGGATCAAAACTTTCTGCCTGTTTTATAAGTGCGACTTGCTCTGCTTGGAAAGCTCTTTCTCTCAATAATTCTCTTCTTTGTTTTATTTTTCTCCAATAAAATTTCATTTTCTTTCTAAGCTTCTTACGCTGATGTTTTTTCATTTTTTTTCGTCTGATGATTATCATACGTACAGCTTGCTTTTCTATAATATTCTCAATTGTAGGAAGTTCTATAGATTTATTTGGCACAGGTAATTCATGCTGAATAGGCAAATATCTATTTGGATTTTCTATTTTAGATATTCCTGTAATAGGCATATCAATGATACTTTTATATGTATTATTATTCACTGGTAATTCAAAATCAATATTTAATGTTCTTGGTGCAAACTTTATGTTAAAATATAAATTAGTTTTACATATATCGCCATTATTGTTTTGAGCTAATGAAATAATATTATTTTTTTCCTTGTTTAAAACAACTTCGTGTTTAAAATAACATCTTACAGGAAAAATACCTAAAAAAAATAGTTAAAAATTAATTACTATTCTGATTAGATTAACCTAAATCATAAAGTTGTATAACTAAAATTACATTATGTAAAATACTTGATGAATGATTATTACGAAAGTAAATAGCCCAAAAAAAAGGAACATAAGTTTTATAATACCATATAATTATTTTCATAACTTATAAAGTATTATTATATGAAAAATATAATATTAAATAATAATCTAGCCGCATTGAATTAATTTTAAGGTTAGGTAATTTTACTTTATTAAATTTTCTCTTTCTAAATTAATAAGATTAATCAATTTCATACATACCACGTGGATTAATAGTTAGTCTTCGAAATACAGTACACAGCGTATTGATAGTCATTATATTTAATAAATTCTCTCATTTAATAACAAATTGTAATCGGCACGCAAAACAGCGCACCACCATCGAGCAACATTTGCTCAAGAGTGACATGCGCAATAAGAGATAAATAAAGTTAGTAAATTGTTTATTTAAGATAATATAAATTGTAAAATTAAAATCTAATGATATAAATGAAAATAATTCAAATAAGTGAAAAAAAAATCATTTTCATAAGTAAAATATTAATATTTCAAAAAATTTCGAACAATCATAAAAAAAGATGGAACTATTAAATAGTAGATTCTCCATGTCATATGCCATTATCTTTTTCTTTATTTGATTTCTTACATATTGATAAAAAATAAAAAAATAAATTATACAGTATTTATTTTAGTAGCAGTTTATTGAAAATTATTTTTTGCCAATCACTCGTATAGCTTAATTAATAACAATAATTATAAGAATTCTGTGTTGATTTTGACATAAAATAATGATAAAAAATATTTTAATCCATACGTGTCTTAACTGTTCTTGTTGTAACTTTATTTTTTTCACTGCAACAAAAACAGATATAAAATCCATTTAGAATTAAAAAAGTTAATAATATATAGGTTAACAATATACTTTAAATACTTACATGATATGGACAATAGCACCCCAACCAGATATAGCATCTCTATCACATGCATTTACCAAAGCTTGACTAATAGTTTCAAAAAGGTCATCAGCTTCCAAATTTGGCTCGTATAATGATTCGCACATACCATATAATTGTTCTGTACATGTTCCGCCAACTACAAAATCATCTGGTATGTTCAAATCACCTATCAGATCCATGTTACAAATAAATGGTTCAAATGTAACAGGATCCAAACCAGCAACAACTGGTTCTATAAAGTATGGTCCAAACCTTCTTTCGTACAAAAGGTTTGATATCATCGCAGCAAAAGTTTTAGGATGAATTTTTCTATTTTCTTTTAATTCATATAAATTCAAACGGAAACGCAGCCTTTCCATCACCGTTTGGCTATCGGTACTGAGACCAGGAAGTCCAACATATAAATGTGGTCCCATCTCGTATAGTTTTTGAAAGTCACAAGTCACAGTTTGCGCTTGAATACCAAATCTACGATCAGCAGCTATTGCCACACAATTTTTTCCTTTCATAGCTATTATTGCTCCACCATTGTACGCAAGTATACTCTAATAACAAACACCATAAATATTGTTTATAAAAAAAAATTATAAAACAGCATAAGGAAGAATTTATTATTAAATTATCTCTAAATAACCTTAAATATATATTAAACAAGTAAAACAAAATTTGCTTAGACTCCTAATAAAAATTTATTTTGTATTATATTATTGAAAATGTGCAATGTCATCTGTAAATTTAACAGTAATATACAAATAGAAAATGAATTATTTTTACTATCCTTTAATTGTACATATAAAAATATAAAAACAAATCATTTTAATTAATGTATATATATTTACCATTTTTAATAATATAAATTAATATAGCGTATTCAGAAATCAACACGAATCTTTATGTACAACCAAAGATACACACGTACAGATTGTGATCCATAAACAACGTCTTATATAGACATGCTACTTTATATCAAAGTATTAAAAGTGAAGTTCATTTAAAGTTGCAATTCAGATCAGTAAATAATGTTTAATATATCAATAGTATCTCATTTAAATTAAAATACTAATTATATATATATATATGTATAAGCAATTGCTAGTTTAAATACATTTTACAATAATAATAAAAGTGTATTTTCAATGTATAGTGTGACATACATACATATCAGATCCTTTCTATTCGATCTAAAGAGATCTGAATATACATAAAGTCCGCCATATTGAATTTATTTCGCGCGCGAAATTCGATGTAAGTGTTTATTTCGATCACTTTTGATGAAGAAAAAAAAAAAAGAAAAAAAATTCGTAAACCATTGGTTGATACAATGTCACGATAAATACATCTACTTGTTTATCGAAAATCAAAAATACATAATGACATAAATATATTAAAAGGATAATAGAAATATAGGAAGGTGAAAAATGGCGTACGATCGAGGTACTATGTTTGTATATAGAGTTTTTAGATAGCGCCAGTCATGACGATAAGGTAGCCCATCTATTTTCTCTCCCCTTCTACTATTCCTCCAAAGATAGCCAGAAAGTCGAAAGTTGAGAAAAAAAAGTATGGCTGGACGATGTTATTAAGAGATTCGTAAGTGAGTGGTAGAGAATATTTTGCGTACATTTAGTTGCGTTAACGGTGTAGTAAAAAAGAAATTTCCGTTAACGTTCATTTCATCAAGATTTAAGTAATACTAAAAAAAAGATAAGTGGATAAAGGAGAAGAAATAATAAACCAAGGACGAGAATCCGTGTTGTCGATATATAGAAGAAAAATAAATATGTGTTCGATCATCGCAGAATATTGCAAGTGTCATGCATTTTGCAACAGGGAATGACTCGCGATACGCCAAAAATAAGCGGTCCAGAACAGGTCCGTCGCTGTGATGGCTGAAATCGATCAGAGATCATTAAGTTAATCGAAAGGATTCGCGCTCTTTGTCCCCCTTTGACTTTTTGGTTAGTGGCCTCGATCCCGCGAACATCTGGATTGTGTAAAGTAGAGTCAGCTGTAACTCGCAATATACATACGTGTGTGTGTGAGAGAAAGAGAGAGAGAGTATGTGTGCGTGTGTCTGTATGCACCTTCATTAAAGATTCTAATTTCTCATCGTTTAATCACATTTTTTTAACGAAAAAAAAATAAAAATTTGGTGCTAAGTCATCATTCGTGTACGTGAAAAACGATGATCGAATTTGAGAATTACATTTCTATACTACAGTTCGTAAAGTGTTTCGAGTAACGTTCGATTTATTCCGTAGTCATACATTTTTTGTTTCCTTTTTTATCATCATGCTCTCTTAAATCAATGTTAATAAGAAATAACTCCAAGGATCATAGATCTAAATAAGTATCTTTAATTGGATTAAAGACAAGAATTAGAGCGACCATGAAATTCCTTATATTTATATGTATGCAGTGTATTTTACTTTTATATATTATTTTTAAACACCAACGCATTATACATAAAACATGCAGACAAAGCCTTGTATGCCCGACCTGTTAACTATAGATTGAAGATTATTCTTGGAGTATATTTTAAGAGCCTGGTTTTAAGAATTTATAAACAAAGAACATTGACATTTCGGCATTTCATTTTATTTCATTTTCTTTAAAAACTGAGGAATCCAAGGACCGTCATAAATTAATAACTTACAATCTTTTAATATTTCAGGATTGTGATATTAGGAATTATACCTTAAACTTTATATAGGTAGTTACTGATTTATTAATATTCAAATCGGGAAACTTGTTGACCGTGGATTAAGGAAAAAGATGTCACTAAAACCCAAGAGAATGGATTTTACTAGAACCTGGGATGTTTTGCAAGAAACTGTTAAAGGAGTAATAACATTAGCCAATATCCCTCGTGCTACGTGGAATGACAGATTCAGGTATATTAACAATTTAAATAAATAATTATCCATGTAAAGAAAAAGAAAAATATTTTGGTATAAATGAATTTTATTGAATAATTCTTGTTGCAGCGATGTGTATTCCTTGTGTGTTGCATATCCAGAATCATTGGCAGATAGATTATACAATGAAACAAAAAGGTTTTTGGATAATCATGTTTCTCAATTATTAACAAAAGTTCGTGCTCAAGGTGAAACTGGTTTGCTTCAGGCTTACCATCGTGCCTGGACAGAATATTCACAAGGCATAAACTATCTACATTGTCTGTATTTGTATCTAAATCAACAACACATTAAAAAGCAGAAACTATCCGAAGCAGAGCTTATCTATGGCACTTCTTCGGCTATGTCCGCTGATTGTCAAGAGCAGATGGAAATTGGTGAATTGGGTTTAGATATCTGGAAGAAAAGAATGATAGCGCCGCTTAGAAATTCTCTTGTTTCTCTTCTCTTAGAAAGCATTAATGCAGACAGGATAGGTGAGGCACCACCTGCTACAACCGATGTGATTTGTGGAGTGATACAGAGTTTTGTGCGGGTAGAAGAATATAAAGTGAAAGGACAATTAGATGTAAGAATAATTTCTATAAGAATATATTTTATATTATAATATAAAATTAAACTTTTATCATAAAATAATTAAAACTTGATATACTGATAAAATATTTAATATATATACATTAATATCTGCTATTAATTAGATGTATCAAGAAATATTTGAGAAACCATTTTTGGAGACTACCGGAGAATTTTATGCGAGGGAAGCCTCTGAATTGTTACAACAATCTGATGTTACTCGTTACATGGAAAGAGTTACTTGGCGACTTAATCTAGAAGAACTCCGCACGTGCAAGTTTCTTCACGTTAGTTCAATGCCTAAAGTATGTTTCTTTCTTTATCTAATTAATAATAAAAACAAATATATAAGTTTGAAATGTTAAAAGTGACCAAATAATAATTTCTATAGGTAAGTCAGTGCTGCGAAGAAAAAATGGTAGCCGCACATCTTTCTTGGTTACATGCGGAAGCAGAAGCAATGATACAAAATGAACGCAGATGGGATTTATCTTTACTCTATGCTTTATTAAGGCCATTGCCATCTGAATTAGCTCCGCTTGTACAGAAATTTACTCAACACATCACGCAACAAGGGTTACAAGCGATCGGTCCATTACAAGGTGAAAATGTAAGATTAACGACATTTTAATTAAATACAAATTAACTTATTAATTTTAAAGATATTAAAAATATCGAAGAGATTCAATGAAAAATTTTCATTATTTTAGGTATACACTCAATTTGTAGAAAGCATGCTGGACGTGCATACAAAATATTCCGAATTAATTGGAGATGTATTCAAAGGAGATCAAGCTTTTATAAGTGCTCTTGATAAAGCGTGTTCAGCTATCGTCAATCACAGATCCATTCCGCGTCAACCAGCTCGTGCACCCGAACTCGTACGTAATAGTAATTTTATTGGTTTATCCGAAAAAAATACGATCTTTAAACCGAACTGTTTAATAAAGTTAATGGGTACTATTTCCATGTAGCTTGCCAAATACTGTGACTCACTTCTAAAAAAATCTACTAAAGTTGCATCAGAGGGCGAAATAGAGGAAAAATTGGGACGATCCATAACTGTATTCAAGTACGTCGATGATAAAGACGTTTTCCAAAAGTTTTACGCTCGTATGTTGGCTAGGAGATTGATACATCAACAATCTCAGTCAATGGATGCGGAAGAGGCCATGATCGATCGCTTAAAACAAGCCTGTGGATATGAATTTACAAATAAATTACACTGTATGTTTACCGACATGTCCGTGTCTGCAGATCTAAATGCGAAGTTTACAGCCAGTCTCAGAGAAAGAGACGCGGATAATCAATTAGGCATCGGATTCGTGGTATATGTATTACAAGCTGGAGCGTGGCCTTTGGCTTTGCCACCTTCGCCTGGTCCTTTTCACGTTTCACAACAATTAGAAAAATCTGTACAGGCTTTTGAATCTTTTTATCACGCGCAATTTAGTGGTCGAAAATTGACCTGGTTGCATCACTTGTGCCAAGGAGAATTAAAATTTAATTATTTAAAAAAACCATATTTGGTGACACTGCAAACTTATCAGATGGCTTTGCTACTTCTTTTTGAACATTGCGACTCTATACAGTGCAAAGAAGCAGCGGCATCGTTACATCTATCGCATGATCAATTAATGAAGCATGCCGCGAGTCTCGTTGATAGTAAAATTCTGAAAAAATCGACAGAGGGTGACTTAGAGGAAGACACGGTTCTTACACTTAATTTTGATTATCACAATAAAAGAACGAAGTTCCGTGTTACGGTAGCATTACAACGTGATACGCTCCATGATACTGAGGCGACACACCGTAGCGTCGATGATGATAGAAAATTGTACCTGCAAGCAGCTATAGTTCGTATAATGAAAAGTCGAAAACTTTTGAGACATAATCAACTTTTACAAGAGGTAAGATTCGTTTAAAGAAATTCTTTTTTTTCTGAATTTCTTTATGATTTGGATTAATATTATTTGAACATTTATAAATGTAAGAATTTATTGCAGGTACTTGGTCAGTCTAAAGTTACTTTTGCACCCTCCATCGGCATGATCAAAAAGTGCATTGAAGCGTTGATAGATAAGCAGTACATCGAACGTACTCCAAACAGTGCTGATGAGTACTCTTATGTTGCGTAACCTTATCGCGAAAGACATCACTAATTTATTTCCTCGGGATGTTCCCTTTTTCGTTCAGTTTATCATTGTAACACCAATATATATGGATTTCAATTCTAAAGCAATTTTCTTTCTTCGATTATACGTTTTTTCTCAATATAGAATCTCGAACAGAAAAGATCCATACGCTTTATGATAAATCTTAATGTCATTTCGAAGATTAAAGGGAGCATCTTGAATCGCTTATGTGCTCCTAAATCGAGCGATTAATATCTTAGTCGATTCCTTGACTTGTAATATATGCACATCGAATAAAGAGGATGTTATTTTAAGCCGGAGTAAAGAATTACTTATATTAAGAATTAGCAAATGTAGCGTCATATCGGTAACTTTATTAATTATCGTTAACTTAATCTTATTGTTCTTTCTAAATTTATAATGACTATTATCATACATCCTTTATTGCAGTTTGATCATACCAAGGCTTATTAAGAGAAAAAAGTTTTACATATAAGCCTTTTCTTACAAAATCTATATAACAATACTCAAAATACATTGCTTCTTTATCTATTATCTGGATATCTCTTGTCAGTCTCTAGTTACTTTTGAGACACATCCTCAAGGTACCTTTTTTGGTCCACTTAATTCCATCTTATTAATATATTGCACAAAATACAATACATTTTTCTTCAACTAATTGTATTGCCGCACTTATTCATATAAGATAATTTTAATTCTTTCAATCAAAAAACGTTATGTAGATTGACGTTTCGAAATTAGGAAACTACAAGATTTTATTTTTTGAGGGGACTTTGTATTATTAAGAACGCGATGTTTTCAATTGTAAAAGTTCAGGATCTAGTAATGGATTGTCATCTGTTTCTTGTTCTGGTGGCTTATTCATACCATTAACTACAAGAGGAGAAGCTGTGGCTGTGTTGCTATATGGTGAAAAACCAGCCCATTCCATTCCAAGGTAAATAGGTGGTGGGCTGCCTAATGGTGGTTCAAGTAATAAATGATCGGATTGCTGTTGCTGTTGCACTTCTTGACAATCCGATGTGGGAAGATAAGGTGTTAGGTGAGTTGCAACTTTACACTGCTTCTCCTGTTTTCGCCATTTGGCTCGTCTATTTTGAAACCATACCTAAAAAATAAGTATTTTTAAATACTTATAAAAATATTAATATTATCTTTTATATATATAAAAAAAAAATATACATATAAGATAATGTGAACAGATAATTGATATATTTTACGTTTTTCCAGATAAGTGTTTAGTGCAATATGATATAACAAGATATTTAGAAGATATACTACCTGAACTCTAGCCTCAGTTAATTTTATCCTCAGGGCAAGTTCCTCTCTGAAGAAAACATCAGGATAATGTGTTTTTTGAAACGCTCTTTCCAATTCTTCTAATTGAAAATTTGTAAAAGTCGTCCGGTATCTTCGCTGTTTTCTTTTGCCAGTTCCTCCGGACGATTGTCTGTCTTCGTTTCCAGGACTTGGCGAAAAATCGTACGCTATATACACAAATGTAACAAATCTAATTCACTAACTTCTGCGTTAAACAGTTAAGATATACGACAAAAATCAGAAACATATTTCAGAGAGTGAATACCACATTTCTTTGATTTGATGTAAATTTAGATTTCGATAACTTTGAGAATCTTGAGATACAGTCTTTGTATATTCGAGATTTCAAATTGAATATACTTTTGATAATGTATTAAACGTATTCTATATTTTTGAATATATAAAATTATTCATAATCACGCAAATTCATATATAATGTCGTAAACAATTAGGAAACACTCGCAAAAAGATGAATCGCGCTCCCGTCGCGCTCCAGTCGTCAGTACATCATGTTTAATCTCGTTGCATTCATCATCGAGTAAAACGGTTCATAACAGTTAAACTGATTACCACTAATTCTATTTAAAAAAAGGGCTGCCTATCCGCTTAATGCATTTAGCAATAATTTAATTGAGTCTCTCTCTACCCCAACTTGCAGGCCGACATGTAGAGAAGCGGTTAATTAAATCAGATCCGGGGTAGCAGGGTGCACTTACTGAATTTTGTAGGAAAGCAAACCGAGGAAGATTGTGTGCTCATCAGACCGGCCAGAGCAGTTGACTGTAGATCTCCTCCAGAATTGATCTCGTCGTTAGCTCCTCCGGAGGCGACGATCGCACCGGTAGATACCAAAGGGTCACGCGGTGCACCAACCAAAAATAATTGTCTACTACCCTCGTTACCGCTCTCATCTTCTTCTTTTAAATCCATTATTTGTAAAAAGAATATTCACTTTATTTGCTCTTTTTTAAGTTTACACTTTTCTTTATTTGATTCTTTATTTTTTTGAAAGGCTAACCGAGTAACAGCCTGGCAGAAGATTCGCAAATGGTAATCGAATCACTACGTGGTTAAGAACTTCGTTTGGATAGGCAAGCAGCTCTGCAACTCTGCCGTTTCTTTCCTCTCTTTTCCTCCTTTTTTTCTTACACCTGTACGTAGTAGAAAGAGGAAGAGAGAGAGAGTAGGGGACGCGGAGTATATTTAACGTGAACTCCCTCAAGAGGGGTAGTGAAGCCCCAAAAATGTATTGCTTGTACACCACGAATCAATAGTACGGGTGTACAGTACAAAAAAGTATATCTGATTTCTGTATCGTTCGTTGGGCTTTACTTACAAGACTTTATAATTTATCGCAGTCGAAATAATGACGCTTCTTCATATTACAGAAATGTATGCGGAAGTATGTATAGTACGTACTTTCGCAATCCTTCACATATTTTTTCTTTTTGTTTTTTTTTCTTCTTTTTTTTTAACTGAACGATCTTGATCTTAAATTGGTTAATGTGTATATGAAAAAATTTTCATTTTTGTTACTTACGACATTTATTTTTCTTGCTTTAGTGTATTCCAATATATACAAAGTTTGTAGTATAATTATACTTAAAGAGTAAAATTTCTATATGTGGGTGCCTTAAGTATATACTAGAATTATGAATATAGAATATTATGAACTATTTTAATTATAATAATTATTTTATATAGCAAAGCTTATTTTAAAGAAAGTACGTCTTGATGCATATAAAAAATAAAATTGTGCACATAGTATTGCAGAGTTATAAAATAGTGAATAAATTTTAGATAATACATATCCATCACTAAAAGTGCATGATAGATTCTAAAGATAGAATTGTAGATAATAAGAACCCCGTGTCACATTACACAAATGTGATAGAAATTTTTAATATAATGATTGGTCCCAGATCCCAATACGGACCAAATATCAAGCATCTTACACATAAAACAGCCGAACGCGACTAGTTGACACTAGTAAGTCGTCGTCAAAAAACTTTGTTTCTATTACCACGTTGCCACTGTTTGTAAAAAAAAAGGATCAGTTTCAATTAAATGTGTATTATTTTTTTTTTCTTTAATATAAAACTTTAACTTACTTCAATACATTAGCTGGCATCATTTGACTTTCCGGAGCTGCTTGAATCAAGCTCTGCCACGTATTTGTACTATTTGGAATAACAAATCCAAATTCAAAAAACCATTCTTCCAAGCAACGACCCTTAAAGAGTACTTTTTGTTCCAATCTAAACCTTTCCATTGGTTCTGCAGAACTGAAATTAATTTCTCTAGACACTGCACGACATTTCAGAATCTTTTTTGGTACTCGTGCTTCATGTTCAACGTCAGGTATAGATCTACAATTAAATAATGCAATAAATTTAATAATTCACTTTTTTAATACAAGAGCATTTATAGGTTATGGGAATTCAGATACTCACAAATCTTCATTGCCTTGCCATAAAATCTTTCCGCTATCAGCATCTCTCAAATTCATCCAGTTACTATAATTAATTCAGTAATTAAGGAAAATAACATCCTAAAAAGAGAAATATTATGTTACGAAAATACTGTTTTGACAGTAATGTTAACCTATATATCTTAACCTATCTTCGTAGAGTTTGCCGAATGCATGAGATTATTCGTAAATATATATTAATAAAAAGGATACACTTGAAAGCCTTTGAGTATGTCTTCACCTCGAGATGGCATATTTAAATAGATATGATTATAAAATAATTACAGTATATATACAGAAATACGATACAAAAAGTTCAAACTTCCATCATACTTAAAAATTGTAAACATAACACTTTGCTATAAAAATTAAACATGGATGACAGACCGACTACTTTTAAATCAGTTGGTACTACAGATTACTTTTGTATCCACTTAGAAATATCTTAGTTATACAATTAGATATTTTATCGATCTATGTTTAATAGATATCAGTTGTATCGACGTACACGTAACAATTATCTATTTTATCGATGCTAACTCATGGCGTTGATCATATACGAATCGTTTTACACACATGTCAAATATAACAGTTCTATCGACTTGACTAACCAAATTAAAACACTTCAAAGATTTACGATAATTCTTTATAATTTCTTTTGAAGGAATCTATTATCAAATAAATTATGGCTATGCTTGCAGAACCTCGACGAAAGCAAAAATGGACGCTAAATCCACGTGGAAAAGATTGGTCTAATGGTATAAAAAAAATAAGATGTTATAAGATTGAATTAACAACGCGAATTACTCTTTTAAATTTATTTGTAACTTAATCATAATTCGATTTATAAATCTTATTAAGGATGTTATAGGTTAGATTATATTTTAATATGTTTCAATTTAAATATATTACATTTTAGATACAAATAAATTTGGACAAAGAATGTTAGAAAAAATGGGTTGGACAGCTGGTAAAGGTCTTGGTATTAACGAACAGGGTACGACACAACATGTGAAAGTTAAAGTGAAAACTGATACAGTTGGTGCGTAATATCTTACAAGCATATTATATCACATATATATATATTACATAAATCTATTTAAGCTTTTATCTTTTGAAGGCATTGGTTTTAAAAATAATCAAGATAAAGCATGGACAGAACATCAAAAGGCATTTGATAGTTTTTTGAACCTTCTACAAGAAAATCAAGATTCTGAAGTGATCAAAAAAACAAATACAGAAAATTCTGTAGCCAATATTCAATCATTAGAATTGAAATCTAAACAAAGTCGTGCACGTGTACAGTATGGATATTATATTGCTGTTATTATAAAATACGAATGTTTAATATATTTCAGTTCTAATCAAAAAATATTTCACTTTACAGTTATCAAAAATTTACACGTGGAAAAGACGTAAAGAAATACAGTGCAAAGGATTTAGCTGATATACTTGGAGATAAACATATTCTAAATAAGGAAAGTAAAATTGAAGGACTGCAGAAAGATGATGCAAACGTTACCAATACTGCACACGTTGAAAATATTACAGGAGGTGCAATTACTATAAATAAAGGCAGTATTACTGATTATTTTAAAAAAAAGACTTCACATTTTCTTAAAAATAAAGAAAATAATAATACGAGTTGTATGGATGTATCTGACAATGAAACTGAACAATACAGAGGTTTTGGATTTATATCCAAAAGTCCTAATTGCAAACAAACTAATAAGTCAAAGTTTAAATGCAATTATATTTTTGATAATCCTGCTTTAGATTTACATAATAATGACGATGTACCCAAAGAAAATACGAAATGCTTGAATAAGAGGAAAGGGGACTCTTCAATTGAAAATGATATGCAAAATTTAGGTTATGAAGAAAACTCTGCAAAAAAAATAAAAATTGATGATAATGATACAAATTGTAAGGAAGGTTTTATGAATATGGCTCTTGATTTAGATACAGATGTTAATGAAAGTTGTGTAACTAATAAATTTGAAGTCCCAAGAGTAAAACTTGGTCTTACAAACGATGCATTAGACCTAACTGATGAAATTCATGAGAAAAAGCGAGTAACATTTAATAATCACGTGGAATACAGTACAGATTCTAGTAAGAAGAAGAAACATACTGGTACACTGGATAAATTTGAAGTTGATTCTAAGAAACGTAAAAAGAAACAAAAACAATTTGTTTATACTAACTCTTCAAATAAAATTGGTTTCATTAATGAAGGATTAGACATTAATTTAATACCTCAAGAATTAAAAGATAATAAAGTAAATGAGTGTAAAAGTAAAAGTAAAAAGAAAAAGAAGCAGGAACAACGGAGAATATCTAATCTTGAAACAATAGAAGAAACATCAGAAGAAGCAAGTACAAACAATGGTAGACAAGTTGAAAACTTGAATAAAAATTTATATGCAGATCTAAATAATGAAGAATGTACGTATGAAGAAAATAATATAGATATAAAAAAAAAGAAGAAAAAGAGTAAAAATAAAACACATGAAATCGTAACAGTGACTGATGACATTGATGATACAATTAGTTACATACCAGAAAACATGAATTATTCACAGAAAAAAGAAAAAATCAAAAAGAAAAAGAAACATATAGCAATAGATGATGATGTTACTTATGAAAAAATTACAGAAAAGGCAAAATGTAAAAAAAAATTCACAGAGAAACATAAATATGAAGAAAATGTAGTTAATATACCATTAGACAAAAATGAAGAACATTTAATCATTGAAGAAACTATAGTTGATGATAAACCTACAGAAAAATTAAAACATAAGCGGAAGCGTGATAAAAAACATGTAAATAAAGAGCTAAAATGTGAATTGGAAGATAGGAAAAATGAAGAAGTACCTTGTGAAAAGGTACAAGATAACGATGAAGAAATTAAAGTGAAAGCAAATATTAAACATGATATAATCAGCCACAAAATTTTTGATAATACAAATAAAAACGATAGAATAATCGTTGAAAAAAATGTTAGCGATATGGAAATGCAATTACAGAATGTGAAACATTCGAAAATAGACCCTGAAGAAAACATGACAGTAACAAAAGATATAAATTTTTGTGGAGAAAACCCAAAAATGTCTAAAAGGATATTGAAATCATTTTTTGATTTAGATTACATATTAGACTTTCCAGGTTCTAATATAAAGAAAATAAAAGGTTATGGTGCAGATATATTTCAATAATTTATGATTAGATTGTTCACTATTAGACAGTTATAGTGACGATATAATTTATTTGTATT